GGGTTAAAAAAAAAAAAAAAAAAAGATGGTGACATCCAATACGAAAAAGTAAGGAAAGGAACGTATGACTATGTTTGCAACTCTACATTCATGTATGTGCTGAAATGGTTTCCTCCTCTATAATCCTGTAGCATTTTGTTTCTGTTCCCAAGTAGATTGCTTCCAGCCTCCACATTATCAGAATTAGTCACGTGTTGAGCTTTGTGCCTGGCCCATTAGCAAGAGACTACCAACTTTCTTAATGACCTTCGTAGCCAGCTACTCAGTACTCTACACACAGTAGACATTTACGAGCATGTGAAGATTGACCTGCAAGGAGGGCGGTATTGAAGTAGTCATGCTATTAATCACTAACTGCTTAATCTGTGTGCTATGGACTGAACATTTGTGTCCTAAAATTCATTGGTTGAAGTTCGAATCCCCAATGTAATTGGTATTTGGCCTCTGAGAGGCAGTGAGGTTTGATTAAATCATGAGGGTGGAACTCCACAGTGGGATTAGTATCCTAATAAGAGAAAGAAACCAGAGGCCACCCCCACCATGTGGATACAGCAAGAAAACAGCTACCTGCAAATCAAGAAGATTGACCTCACCAGACAATAAATCTGCTGGTGCTTTCATCTTGGACTTCCCAGTCTTCAGAACTGTGAGGAATGTTTTGTTGTTCAAACCACCATTCCGTGGTATTTTGTTTTTTTTGTTTGTTTGTTTTTTTGGCACCGGGGATTGAACTCGGGTCCTTGGGCTTGCAAGGCAGGCCACCAAACCCCTGAGCTAAATCCCCGGTCCCCATGGTATTTTGTTCTAGCAGCCTAAGTGTACCAAATTCATGTGTTACATTGAACTAAGAGGTAGAATACTAAGTTTATAAAACACGGTTCCACCCATAAGACATTCCTAATCTAGTACAGAAAATGATATATAAATTATTTCCTAAAAATATAGAGTTGTCAAAAAATATGTATATACTTCAAGAAAAGAAAAATAGAATGATGTTTTTTCAGCACATGTTGTTACCTTCACATGAGGGACCCTAGAAGATGTTGTATATCACAGAAACCCCACTGTACTGGCCCTCAGAGAGGAAATTGAAAATGCAGGTGCAGCAGTCTCAGTGACCAAGGTTACCCAAGCAGCAGTTCGCTGTACTACTAAATGCCTGCAAGCTCGTGGCCACCACTTTGAGCCCCTTTTATAATTGTAGAGACCAAAGGTCACTTGTACTAATCTCATGGTGTCTCAGTAAATTTAGTATTAAAACATGTATGCGAGTTTTTCTTTTCCTGAAATGTGTAGACATTTTTTGGCAGACTGTATGTTCAAGATGACAAGACAATATGTGATAAGGATCAACCAAATTAATTGAGGTTCCCAACCTCAACCACCTATCGGTGTTGTTTCTACCCAGCATCCACCATCTGACAATCAAACAAAACAAAACAAAACAAAAACAAAAAAACAAAAACAACCCTGTATGGAATACATTTCCAGAACACCTATAGAAGGCAGTAGGACTCCTGCTACTGATGGAGAAGGTAAGTGAGGGAACAGCAGAACTCTCAAACTTCCCCGTTCCTACAGGTCCCCTGGGGATCTTGCTGGAATGCTGATTCTGGAGGTCCTGTATGGGCACTCATCTAGTATGGACAGGGCCTTGGATTCAAACTTCAGTACCTGAAGAAACAAACAAACGACAAGAACAGAACACTCAAGAGGTCTGAGGTAGGGCCTGAGAATTTTCATCACTACCATCTCTCCATCTCTTCCTCAAGTGATCGCCCCTGCTGCCTGTCCCTAGATCGAAACTGGAGAAATCAGAGGAAGAAGGACCTGGGGTTCAGGGAGCAAAGACTTCACAGAAAAGAAGGGGCTACAAACAGGGCCTTGAGGAAAATCAGGGCCTTGAGGGTGTGTTGCTGATGACGTCCCCTGAAGCCTGGCTGCGGGGAGGAAGGCACGCTGGACCTGGGGGACGGGCACTGTGCCCACAGCCAGTAAACAGCCTAAGGCCAACAGTGGCAGTAAGCTGGACATGCAGGGTAAAAATAAGAGCTCCTTGTTGGGGCCAAGTCTGCCAGACCCTGGGGAAGTTCATTTCTTTCAATAAATCCAGCAGCTTCCCCTTTGATAAATGCTGTCAAGGCTGGAACATGTCGTACTAAGAAAATATGGTTTTAATTTGGGGCCCACCGCACTCATGGTTAAATACTGTGTGTACACAAAAGCAGCCTCACAGCCAGCCAAGTTAATATGCCTGGGCTGAAAAGGCTAAACCCATGAGGATTCAGTTATACGGACTTCGCTGCTCTGAAAGACAACCTAATCACCATCATCAATTTTAATGCTCCAAGACTTCTCATGAACATGGAAGCTTTTAAAGTTCAGCCATTTGTGCCTCTGCATCCAGCGCAGAAGCAGCCACGCATTATTTTCCTGGGATTTTATACCCACTTTATTGGCATATCTTGCCTGACAGTCAGAAAACAGCACACTATTTTCATCAACGACTCAACACCGCATTAAAACTTGGTGGTCCATAGCTTTGCAGCAAAGGGAGGTAGTGGCAGAGGGAGAAGGGTGGGGTGGGTGTCAGGGCAGGAAACAAGAATCAGAATTTAGCAACAGACTGAGGCTTGTTCTGATGAGATTCAGTCCTGGGAACACAGAAACTCTCAGTGTTTTCATCAGTTTGCATGTGTCAGTCTTGGAACAGCCCAGGGAAGGAAGGAAACCAGCTAAACAAGTTTCTGTCTGGTGGATGCTGTCGGAAACTGGGCCTCCAGGCCATCATGAATAATGAAGAAGCCTGCTTCTTCCAGAGTGTAGGTCACAGCAATTGCAAGAGACAATTGCCCAGCAAATCAAAGATTATAGCACCTGCCAGTAATCCTATCGGGCAACAAATCTGAGAAGAGGTCAGTAGCAGACGGCAACAAAGAAGGGAAGAGGTTGAATTGGGAGGGAGAATTTCTCTAAATAGTCCTCGTGCAGGACAAAGTCATTGCCCCTCCAAAAGACAGCTCCTCATGAAAGTGAGGGGAGTGAGCTGGATCATTGCCTGAAACAAGAGTCAAATGATTTCCTGAAAGGACGAAGGATTTATTCCAAAGGGAACATGGATGTGGAGGGGCCTGACAGGAATTACCTTTTCCAGGAGGTATTTGCGTGTTGCTTTTTGGGGGGCGGGGGAGGGCAGTACTGGGGATCGAACTCGGGACTGACCTTGGGACCTTGTGCTTTTGAAGCAGGCGGTGGCACCATGCATTTTTAATTTTATTGACATGTATTCCTAGGGCTGGGAATGTAGCTGGGTGGTAGAATGCTTGTTTGGCATGCATAGGGCCCCAGGTTTGATCTCCAGAACCACCAAAAAAAAAAAAAATCAATCAATAATGTATTTTTCTTTTTACTATTATATACTCATAGTGACAGAAAAAGCCTAATGCCCTATGAACAGTGATTTTTTTTTTTTAGTCATTTGTCAGCAAGGGCCTTCTAAAAAAAGTTTTGTGGGAATCCCTAAACTTTGACTATACATACTTATTTTCTTTTTATGCAGCAAAGTAAGGCATGTTTATTGTGGAAAAATGTAAGATACTAAAGAGTGCAGACATTATTTAAAAATCAGGTACACATTTCTTACTTATTAAGGAAAGTCTTTCTCTGAGTACTTAAAGCCACTAAGTTCAAGTTAGAAGGTGTTACAGAGCCACTGATGAGGTCTGAGTAGACAGGGAGAATCCAGTGTATTTTCCAGAAACACAATTCTGTGTTTTCTTTGGTTTTCTGGAGGGGAAGAGAAAATGTCCCCCAACCCCAATTGCTTTTGTTTGGTTTAGAGGCATGGGGAACGGTGGTGAGGTGTTGTACAAGCCAGGTGAATATTTGGGGATGTCACTGCATTTTGCGCTGGCTCCTTTGTTCCTTGGATGGCTTCCTCATTAATGGAAGGATACAGGGGGAAGGACTGGCAGTTTATCTGGAGAAAGAACCCAGAGTTCTCATGGTGTAGAGATTGTGTACCATTAGAAAGGGTGCGGGAGAGGAGGATTTGTTCCTGCATAGTCATCACAGTGAGGAAATGCTATAGGGACAAGAGGTCATGGGCATTTAACCCAAACCAAATTTAGCTTGTGGAACAAGTCTCTAATTGGGAGCCTGGATTCCACATTAAAAGCCCTTCTCCACCTGACACCGTTTTAAGGTACTGTTGTGGTAACTGAATTTCATGGATTTTGCTCATTGCAGGTCCCCAAGCACGCTCACCATGAAGCAATGACACAGCACAGCGTCTCCTCGCAGCTAAGCTTCCACAGGGCTAACGGGAAAAAGAGTCAAGCTCCTTCCCTCTCTGATTTGTGAGCATTTAACCTCCAGGCACCTTGGTTCCATTCCCTTCCAGTACCCATGATAGAGAGCTTCCGTGCTTTCTGCCCCAGTGTGTCCCTGCCTTTATAGTAACTAAGAGCCCAGATTTTCATCAGAGGAGCGCCTCCCCCACTCTCAGCTCTTGAGGGTCAGGTGACACTGACACCCTTTGAATGTGTGAGCCTGGCCTAGGCCAGTTGTTTTGTCCCGTTTCATGACCACAAATTAGAGGCAGCACTAGTTTCTCGCATTTTTTGGGGGAAAGTGACTCTCACTTGTTTCTCTGTATTAGATGTGTGAGAGGTTGCAGACTAGAAGCATGTACCATTGCCTTGAGGTCACAGGGAGCTGGGATTAATTCTAACAATGTGATAAGCAGATCTGAAAACTGGGAACAAAAGCAGAAAAAATATCTACTCTGATATATATATATATA